GGGGGGGAATCTATGTTTGTCTCAACCAGCCCCCATTGAGGCTTGGGAGATAAGGAGTTGTGCTTCTATTCTTGCCTGCTCCTGTGAGAAGTATGATTAAGAAATGCTGTAGGAGTTGGTGCTCCTATTATCAGCAACCCATTGAGAAGATTAGAGAAGAATAAAGTAAGCTTATTTAACCCCTCTGGAGCTGTCTTCCTGTCTTCCTATCTGCCCAGATCAAGAGTGAAACTGTTAGAGGCTGGAACCTAAAAAACTCCAGTGCTTCCTATGTATGTGCCTGTCTCAACACATGTACTGCCTCTTTTGATTCTCTTCATTCATTCATTCATTCATTCAATAAACAAGTATTAATTGACCTCTAAGTAACTTTATTAGGCCCTGGAAAATATATATAGTCATTGCTCTCATAGATCCTATCCTTCATTGCATCTATGCTTCATTTTACAAAGAAAGAAAGAAAGAAAGAAAGAAAGAAAAGAAAGAAGAAAGAAAGAAAGAAAGAAAGAAAGGAAAGAAAGAAAGAAAAAAAGAAAGAAAGGAAGGAAGGAAGGAGGAAGGAAGAAAAGAAAGAAAGAAAGAGAGAAAAGAGAAAGCATTCAGATGTAGTTAAATAGCACTAGCAGTATTCTGTGGTGGCCAAAACAACCACAATGGGCTAGAGTAGTTCCAGACAGTTCAACCTTCTTGAGAGTTGATGTGATGGAGATTTTTATGCCATCTATAAAATACGAATGAACTTCTCTCCCATATTACAGCCTGTGTCTTTTCCTATTCATTTATTGCTGAAAGGAGTTGGAGGAAGCCATAACCCTACTGAGTAGACACACATACATATTTATGTAATCTAATTTCAGCTGACCCTTCATTAATTCAATCTCTATCACACTCATCTCAGTGGCTGTCACACCTTCTCTTCTCCTCTCAGGCCCCCCACAATAATGTCTCTCTCTACTCTCCCTACTTAGGAGCGTGACTTTCATTTTGCTGAGAAAATCAAGGCCATTCATTGTGACCTTCCTCTTCATTCTCCTTCTTCCTGTCTCAAACACTTGATACCATATCCGATTATCCTCCTTTAATCCAGACTCTAAAGAGAATTCTTTTATCTTCACCAAGGCCATTCCCTTAACATGTACCCTAGAACCCATACCCTCTCATCTCCTTCAGAAGATTGCCCTCTTTATCACCATTCCCTTTCTCTATACTATTTTCATTTTTTGTCTGCATACTAGTTCCTTCTCTTCAATCCATAAACATATATGAATCTCCCCCATCATTAAAAAATACTCTTACTAGGTCCTACCATCCTTGTTAGCTGTGATCCCATATCTCTCCTCACTTTCTCAGCAAGGTTTCTTGAAAAACAAACAAAAAAACTCTCTATACTTGAGAAGTCTATTCATATCCTTAGACCATTTAATAATTGGGATAATGGATTTTATTTTTATAAATTAGAATCAATTCCTTACATATCTTAGTAATTAGACTTTTATCAGAAAAAAACTATTCCAAAGATTAATTGTTCACTGCTACATATTTCCCTTTTAATATTAGTGTTATTAGATTTGTGGAAACAAAAAACTTTAAAAAATTCATGTAGTTAAAGCGATCAATTTTATTTTTTGTGATCCTCTCTATCTCTTATTTGGTCATGAATTTTCTTCTGTTGATATATTTGATAATTAGTCATTTCCATGTTTCTTTAATATGTTTGTAATATGACTTTTAAAAATGTAAGTCACCTTTCCATTTGGAGCTTGTTTTAGTATAAGGAGTGAGGTATTGGTATAAATCTGATTTCTTCTATTTTACCATCAATTTTCCCAGCATTTAAAATATGAAATAGTGAGTCCATATTCTAGAAGCTAAAGTTTTTGTGTTTATAAAATACAAAGCTCCTAGATAATTTATTTCTGTATGTTGTGTACCTAATCTGTTCCATTGATTAATCTCTCAATTTTTAAACCAATATCAAAATTATTTAGAGAGTTACTACTTTATAGTGGACTTGAAATTTGACATTACTAGGACCCCTTTCTCCTCTCCCTTTTTCCATTGAGATGTTGACTTTTTTGCTTATCTATAGCCATATTAAAAATTGTCTAAACCACTGCTAAGTAGAAAAATGGATATTCAGTCACTTCTGAGATTCCATTTCACTCCAATCATCTTGATAGAGATGACCAAAAAGGAAAACTTTGAACGTTGGAGAGGCTGTAGCACATTGACGTATTGTGAAAGGGTGCAACCATTCTGGAAAGCAATTTAGAGTTTTGTTCCTGAAATTTAGTAAATATTGCATGACATTTGACCAAGCTATCCCACTGCTAGGCGTTTATCCCCCCAAAATCAAAAGAAGATAAGAAGGTCCTTTATGGACAAAAATATTTAAATGGCTCTTTTTATTGTAGAAAAAACAAACAAACCAGAAAGTGAAAGAATACCCATAAGTGATAATGGCTAAATAAATTGTGGTATTTGAATGTGACACTGTCTTTAAGAAATAAGGGAAATATATTATTTCAGAAATATGGAAAGACTTTTATGAACAGATATGAAGTTAAATAAGCAGAACAAGGAAAAAACAGTTTATACATAACATCAGCATTAGAAAACAATTTTGAAGACTTTATAAACTGATAAAGAAAGAAATGAGCAGAGCCAGAATAATTTATAGCACAACAATATTGTAAGGAGAATCAACTTTGAATACTTTAAATCTGTGATCAATGCAAATGATTTCAAAGGACTATATATTATCTATCACCTGACAGAGGAGTAAGAGATTTAGTAGGAAGCAAAATCACACACATACACACACACAGACACACACAGAGCCAATGAGGAGATTTTTCTTGATTATATATATTTGCTACCAGAAATTTTGTTTTTTTTTCCCTCTGTTTTTTTTTGATGGGAGAAGGAAAAGAAAATAGATACTTGTTTATTGTTTTAAAAAGCACTTAAGGGGCAGCTAGGTGGCACAGTGGATAGAGCACTGGCCCTGGATTCAGGAGGACCTGAGTTCAAATCTGACCTCAGACACATAACACTTACTAGACATGTGAACTTGGGCAAGTCACTTAACACCATTGCGTAGCCAAAAATAAAATAAAATAAAATAAAAATCACTTAAACAATAACTAGGTGAGGGGAAAAGGATTGGGGCTATCAGGGTGGAATGTTGCATGTGCTTTGAAAGGTCACACACACACACACACACACACATACACACAGAGGTACACACAAATTGTTTATACTTCCTGTCTCCCCTTCCTCTCCACTCATCCCCTCCTAAACTGTTTTCAATCTAGCTTCTAACCTTATTGTTCAACTGATAATGCTCTCTCCAAAATTACCAGTGATCTCTTAATTGACAAATGTGATGGCCTTTTCTTCATGCTATTTATCAACTGCTCACTCTCTCTCACCCCACACATCCTATCGTTTGCCAAATCTTCCTGTTTCTCCAACATCTTCATTCTCTTTTTAGAGGCCCTTATCACCTTTTGCGTAGTTTATTACAAACAACCCCCTAATTGCTCTCCCTGCCTCAATTCTCTCCTTACACCATACATTCTCTACAATGCTGTCAAAGAAATTTCCAAAAGTACAGATCTGATCATGTGACTTTCCTATTCAACTGACAACATTTACAGCTTCATTTTACTTCAAGGATTAAATATAAACTTTTTGCTTTAGTTTTTAAAGCCCTATACAACCTGGCCCCAATCTGTCTTTCCAATCACATCAAATATTACTTCCCTTCCCACATTCTTTAACCTGGTCAGATTCACTTTGTCTCAATTCCTCACTCATGACACTCCCATCTCTCATCTCTCTGCTTTAGCATTGGCCAACTTTGATGCCTGGAATGCACTCCCTCCTCGTATCTATCTCAGAGAATACCTCTTTTCCCTCTCTTTATGATATAGCTCTCTTGCATGAAACCTTTCCTAATCCTCCCAACTGCTAGTACCCTTCCTCTCAAATTACCTTCTATTTAAAGTTTAATTTAGGAACTTATCAACTTTGTATGCATACACCCACAAACACACCCATATGTGTATATATATATGTATATATATTCACAAATTTATTTCCCCCATTAAAATGTGAACTTAACGTGAATAAGGATTGTTTCATCCTTTGTACTTGTATCTCCAATGCCTAGCCTAATGCCTGGTCCATAATAGGCATTTACTAAGTACTTGTTGATACTGAATCCCAAAAAGAAAGACTATCTGGGAGGAAATAGTGGTAAATAGTATCAAATGCTGCAGAGAGGTCAATGAATCAAGATATCAGTCAAGAAGTACCTATTAAGTGTCTATTACAAGTGCACAGAGAATGATAGTTTTATTCTTTGTACTTGTATCTCCAGTACCTAGCCTAGTGCCTGGTACATAGGAGGCTAATACACTGGGGCTGTATACACAGATCTCAGATCCATCTGTGTAGTGATGGTAACTGAACTGCTTCCTCGTGGTTCTTCTACATTTCTGAGCTCTCCCCAGTCTCTTTTATTGGATCATCATCCATGTCTCTTACTCTAAATATTGATATACCCCATGTTCTCTTTGGGGCCTCCTTTTTCATCTGTACAGTTTACACTTGATGACTTCATCATCTCCTTTTTTTCAGTTACTTTCACTGTGCAGATGAATCTGAGATCTGTGTATCCAGCTCCAGGCTCTTTCCTGTGCTACATTCTTATATTACCAACTGCCTTTTGGACAACACAAACTGAATGTTGATGAGGAAACTGAGGCAAACAGGGTTAAGTGACTTGCCCAGGGAAACACAGTTAGTATAGTATATATTCATGGACAGGTCACTTCACCTCTCTGGGCTTCAGTTTTTTTATCTGAAAAATGGAGATAATAATTTGCAATGCATACCTCGATAGAGTTATTATGATGAAAGTCCTTTGAAAACCTTAAAGCAGTCCACTGGTATATTACTGCTAATTTTATGATTTTTTTCCCCCTCTACAGAAACACCACAGATGGCTATTACCTCTATGCAGACAGTTCAAATGGAAAGTTTGGTCACACTGCTGACATCATCACTCCAGTTATTTCACTCACAGGGCCAGAATGCAGGATAGTGTTTTGGAATCACATGAACGGAGCCGCGATCGGCTCTCTCCAGGTACTGCTTCAGCAATTGAATTTTCCAGAATTGCTCTATGAAAATTCATACCCTGTAATTTAATGTTATTAAAATCTAACCTGCTAATAAATGAAAACGAACAATTATCAACACTTCACTGCTTCCAATATGATATGATTGAGAAAAGTAATATCAAGAGTAAGACCTGAAGAGGTAAATTTCTCTACACAAATTATGACCTTTATCACCTCTCAGAGGTTACAGTTCCATGAGAGTCAATCTGACTCTTGGAATATATCAGACTGTTTTTCACAATCAATATTCTGAGTTCAGTGTAATCAAATAGACCTACACAAAGCCATAACCACGCATGGGATCAGTTGTTTTGAATTTTACAACAATGTTCTCCAATCTGGTGGTCTTTCAGGCCTGTTTAGACAAATAGCAGCACTCCCATAATCACTTTAAAGCACACACACCAATACAAAATTCCCCTTGTGCTGATGCTGACAATCTTTATTAATTCCACTGCCCTTAGCTGTTGGGGAATAAACTTATCACTGACGTAGGAAAGAAAGGCATGACTTCTCATCCTGGCCTTGCCACAAGCTAACAATATATGATCTTGGCCAATTTGCTTCACAAATATATATATATCTTGAATCCACTAAGCATGGTTGTGTGACTTTTTCCATCCAGAGAAGGTCTACGGCCCATGAGTAGGATCATCAAAGGCTGATGGTGAGAATAACAGAGGACTAGGCAGGTCATTAATCTTTCTGAGTTTCTTCCTCCTCTTCCTGTAAAATGAGGAGGTTAGAGTAGATGACTTTTAGTATTCTGGGATCCTATACTTCTTCCAACCTGAGGTCATAGATTTAGACTTGAAAGGGACCATAGTATCATCCATTGCAATGATGTCAAACTCAAATTTGAACAGGGACCAGAATTAAGATCCCTGCAGGCTGTATATTTACTTAAAAATTACATAGCAACATGATCTATGCTCTAGAATATTTTTATTTATTAAGTGTCTCAGTACGTTTTAATCTGGTTCAGGCACACTTAAGAGTGTTGTGAGCTTTGTATTAACACTTCTGATCTGTTGTAACCCGTCACTTTACACAGGAGAGAAACAAGGCCCAAAGAAATTAAGTGACTTGCTCAAGGTCATACTGGTGGCAAGTGGCAGTCAGGATTTGAAATGAGATACTGTGACTAGAAAGCTTATGCTATCTCAACAGTCATGTCCTTAGGACCACCTACATGATTCAATGGTTCAGCTGTTCTTTATGTGAGTAGAATGAACGTGTCTGGGTAAAATTTTTCTCAAACCAGGTCCCTGGTAGTTTAGATCCAAAATTAGACACTCCTAGGTCATTCAATAGTTAAATAATGGTTGACTTGGCCATGGTATCTACAGGTTACCGAGGAGGGGTCTAACACTTAGCTGCATTCCACATTATACCAGAAAACATTGAATCAGGAAGGCAGAATCTGGTAACTTGGGCATATTCCAAGTACAAATGGTGTAGTCTCCACATGGGCAAACGTTCTTATGTTTTTAAGTGACCAGGAAGCTGAAAAATAGCCTGAGATTACCAGGAAGCTACCAACTATGCCTAAAGTGCCCTCTGCCAAATACAGTGTGAAGACAGCTTCCTTGCCTTTTAGGGAATGAACTAACTTAACCTTCATGGGACCAGGAGTACCCTGGTAAATATTGATTCTGTAACAGAAGGACCACTACCAATTGTCATCACTTAGCAGACAAACACATTCAGATGAAAAATAAAAACAGAAATAGCAGATTATAATTCTATTTTTTAGTACTACTACATGATATCCTTTAGGTTCATCCTGTTTTTCTTTTAGGCCCTGGGAAATGATCATTTCAATTGTGGTTTACCATTGGTAATGTATCATCATGGCAAAAGATTTTCCATCTAACCTAAGCCTGCTCTTCTCCCCAGTAGTCTGTGTAGGCAATCTTCCAGAAAGAAACTCTCCTACTTTGTATTTTTCTTAAAAAGAGAGTCATTCAGACAGAAAGACTGCTAAAGCTACCTTTGGATTTTAAAGAAGAGTCAGTCCTGTCCCATATTCTGTATGCCAAGAAGGTATAGAGAGTTGGGACCAGTCTGGGACTAGTCTGGGACCAGTCTGGACCTAGCGAAGAATTGTAAATACAAAATCTATAAACTTGTAGTCAACCTAAATTTTTTATTAACGGTTCTACTGACCATTTTCTTTTAGACACCAATGCTGTTCCCTAGTAGATACTAATGGCCCTGTACTACAAAACTTTGTTCATTCTCTTCCTTTCTCTGTTGTTTACACCTCCAACAGCATTCAAATATTTATTTATATCTACATATCTATCTTTATAGATGGATAGATGCAATATCTATATACTAAATATCTATACAACATACATAGATAGGCAGGTAGGTAGTAATAGAGAGATAAAGATTCCTTCCCTAGGATAATATTCATTGTTATGTAAAAATGAATGCTAATGGGTTGATAAATTAGATAAACTAGTGTGAGCTGATATAAAAATAATAGCTAATATTCATTTGTATCTTCATAATTAAAAAAGGCTGCTTTACCTAAAGGATAGCATTGTATCCTCATAAAATTTAATTTTCTTTTTTATTGTAAACTCAGCATTCATGAATAATAAGAAACGTCATAAGATTATTCAAGGAACAGGAAATAATACCATACAAGAGATGTTGAACTTTTAAAACATACAGTCTTTTAAAACATACACACACACACACACACACACACACACACATAAATAAACACACACACACTTCCTCCTCTTCCTCCTCTCCTTTCTTCTCCTCCCCTTCCTCCTCTTCTTTCTCACCCAACACCCTATTTTTCCTCTTGGCTCTTGTCCACCTCACCTTTGACTTCACTTGGAGCATTGATAAAGGAATTACAAAAAGCAACATGGATGACATTATTTTTTGGCTAGGATTGTAGATTTAGGGCTAGAGGAGACCTTAGAATTTATGCATCTAATCCCCTTTTACATTTGAGGGAACTAAGGGCAAGAGAGGTCAAATAACTTGCCGAAAGTCATCAGACAATAGGTGGAAGAAACAAGAGGGAAAGCAAAGTCCTCTGATTCCAAATCCAAGGAAGTTTCCACTTCAACACTCTAATAGTTATATTGAGATTGAAATTCTTAATTTAACTTCTGAGACCCTCCTAATTTTTAGAAAAAAAGCCCCAAAAAACAAAAAACAAAAAAACATTGGTTGTTGTCCTCCATTCTTGAAGAGGACCAAAATGACATCACTATGTTAGAATCAAGTTACAATGTGTGTGGCTGATCAGGCCAATACGAGCTCAGAATGTTCTTCCACAGGTTGGGTACAAATAGCTCATGTGAACATTTGGAGTGGATTCTCTAAATTTGTGGATCTTGCATTTCTTTTGAGTTATTTCAATTCTGCTTTGCTCATAGAGCATAGCATCTTTTCTGATGTGGGTAACACCATGCTGAGCAGTCCTGTGCCAATGTCTCCCGTCATACAATCAATTCCAAAGTTCGTAAGGGAGATCTTGAGAGTGTCCTTGTTTTAAATAAACTAAAATAGAGACAAGGCAGTCTTGTGGGAGGAGAGGTGCACTTTGTTATTTCCTTTTTTAACTGGCATTGAATTGGTTATAGGCAGGTCACCTTGTATCTTTCATCTTTAGGCTCCATTTTTATAAAATGGTAATGGTTTGAACTATTTACTGTATGAACAATAGATATTATGAGATTAATTAGTAGTATTTTCCATGTTCTGTTATTTCCTCTGAGAAAAATGTCATATTAATAGATGATGCCGTGTCAACCTACATCAGAAATTGGGAAACAAATATAGCAAAACAATGAAAATGTTAATTCTATAAGCCACAATAGAATCATTTTTGTGCATGGATAATGAGATATTAAATTCTTGTAGATTATGATCTTTTTCCCTTGAGTGCTTTGTTTAAAATGTGGAAATCAGAGGAAGGCAGACAGATGCATTAATTTTCCATTCCTAATAATGACTCTTTATAAAAGCTTTTTATTTTTTGGTTAGAAATTACACTTTTGCTGACTTTGATAATATGTCAAATTAACTTGAATTTTATGGACCAAGAATTTTATGACAGTTAAGCTGAAAGAGATGATATTTTGCATGAGGCTCAGAAAGTTTGACTTTGTGAAAAATGTCTTGAAAATTATTCAAAAAAATAAAGATAATAGTGGCAAGCATAAAAGTTAGCTTTATTCTCAGAAGTCCAAAGCTCCATAAACCATTTTTAAATGATTCTTTGCATGTCAAAAATGTAATGTTCCAAAGGAATAAGTTAAAGATCCCTTAAGTCAATTATTTTGAGCTGTTACCTTCTCTTGCTGTTTCCCATGATTGTCAGTAGTTCCCTTGAAGGCTTCTTTCTTGCCATAATAAAGAGAAATTTCTATTATTGCTTTGAGCCAATAAACTAATGTTTCTCTTGTACCTGCTGAGACTTATCTGAATTCTCCTTTCTGGAAAACAAACAAACAAACAAACAAACAAACAAAAAAAAAAAACCCTAGAATCTGACACATTGTATTCATTTAATAATTGAATTGTTACTGAGATTGAGAAGGCCTCTAATCTCTTTGAGCCTCAGTTTCCTCACTTTTAAAATGAAAGGGTTAAACTTATTGATTTCTAATTTCTATGGTCATTCCAGTACTGAGAAGTGAAATTCTATTCCAAAGTCTTCAAAAAATGTCACTGAAAAAAGACTTCATGCTTGATGGATGGTTGATAAATTAAACATTTATATAGATTATTTTCAAACAGTATGCACTCACATATTCATTTACATTTACTCTTATCAGACAATATTTGTTAAATACTCTTATTGAGGCAGCTAAGTGGGGCAGTGGATAGAACATTGGACATGGACACAGAGTTCAAATCTGTCCTTTAGGCACTTACTAACTATATGATCCTGGGCAAGTCACTTAATTTCTCTGTTTCTCAGATTCTTTACTTGTAAAATTAGGACAATAACAGCACTTATCTCCCAAGGTTGTTGTGTGGATAAAATAAGAAAATATTTAGAAAGGCATTATGCAACATTAAAGCATTCCAAATTTTTATTTTTTATTGATTTTTTGTTATTACTACTGCCCTTATTGAACATATATATATATATATATATATATATATATATACATGCTAAATATACAGAGGAAGCCCAGACCCTGTTTCTTCTACAAGAAATTTTGATGGTGGAATTTTTTTAAAGTACATTTAAAGCATTTTAAAGTTAAATACTACAGTGCATTATTGATGGACAATTTATTTTTTTCCTAGGTACTCGTTAAGAATAGTAACGTGACAACCAAACTTTGGGCGCAGACTGGCCAGCAGGGTGACCAGTGGAAAAGAGTAGAGGTGTTTTTGGGTATTCAGTCCAATATTCAGGTTTGTAATCCAATTATTTTCATTGTGAATGTTTATTGTTAGAGAAATACTTTTCATTTTAGGTTTGCTTCATAGCATTTTTTTCTGAATTAAATTCATGCCCAGATACATTTTTCTCTCACCTTATCTCCCCCATCTGGTTGTTAAACCCATATATATCCAACTGTTGATTATCTCCATATGGATTTGCTCTCTCTCTCTTTCTCCTCTCCTCTCTCTTCTCTTCTTCTTTCTCTCTCTGTCTGTCTCTCTCCCTCCCTCTATTCCTTCCTCTCTTTCTGTTTCTCTCCCTATACATGCATACATATATGTATATATAATCTCTTCTCTACTTCCTGACACCAAACGATGACAATAGTATTCAGTTTAACCCAGCAACCATATATTAAGTGAATACTGTGTGCCAGGCATGTAGGAGGTGGTGGCCATAGAAAGCCAGAAATGAAACAGTCACAACCCTGAGGCAGCTTACCTTCTATTTCTTGGGTATCTTCCTCTATGGATAATTTGTATATTCCCATGTCTTGTAAATATAATTTTTTTTATTTTTAAAAAATCTTCTTTTTTCCAATTCCATGCAACTTTCTTAACATTTACTTTTGAAAAATTTGAGTTCCAAATTCTCTCCCTTCCCTCCCCCCTTCCCTATATTTGATATAGGTTATACATATGCAGTCATGCACAACATTTCCATATTAATCATATTGTGACAAAAAAGACAAAAAAGACCCCCAAGAAAAATAAAGTGCATTATGGTCTGCATTCAGACTCCATCGGTTCCTTCTTAAATGAATTTTAATATTAACTTCAGCAAATTATGATTAATAAGGCAAACCTATTGAAAAATCATTGCATGGAGAGATGTCCATTATTTTTTTCAAAAGATAGACTAAATTTGGGGCAGCTAGGCGGTGCAGTGGATAGAGCACCGGCCCTGAAGTCAGGAGGACCTGAGTTCAAATTTGGCCTCAGACCAAACACTTGACATGCACTAGCTGTGTGACCTTGGGCAAGTTACTTAACCCCTGATTGCCTCACTAAAAAAAAAAATAGACTCAGTTCAATAATTTTTTATTGAGGAAAAAATTATATAATTGACAGATATTTTTTCCTTCCAGATATTTGTCCTAGGCCCGCAGCCTTTATAGCTTGCCTAATTTTTACTTTGCATAGATTATGACTCTGTATGCTCTTTTGTCTTCTGTATTCTTTTTGTTATTATTGTTATTGTTGTTTTCTTTTGTTATTGGATAGCTGCTGTAGAAGAAAATGAATGAAATCTTTCACAGATTTTTGGAATTTGAAATTATTGAAAATCTGTTTAATTCATCTCCTTACTGTCGTGAGAGAGTTAATGGTAGTGACACTATTCCACTAGTCGTGTACTTGAAATACAAACACCTTGGTTGGGAGTCCATGTCACTTGCTGTGTGTGCGACCTTAAGCAAGTCTCCAAAGGATAGTTCCCTTGTCTAACCCTCAACTTCTTCATTGCAAAATTGAGGGATGGTGACCTATGTTGCTTTGACAGTCCCAACTAGTTCTAAAGCCGTGATTTTATGAGTTCTCTTCCTTCAGTGAACTATGAATATGGCCAGCGCTTAGCACACTGCCTAGTTAATATATGAGGCATTTAATGAATGTTTATTGACTGTTTGGGCATTGCAACTCTACGTGTCTCTCATTTCTAGATCTGATAAAATTATGGGAAAGGAAAGAAGTTATCTATGATTCCCTTCACTGGCAAACATCCTAGTAATGGTGCATTGACTTCTACTCTTGCTGCCAACTTGCTCTACTCTTCCATTTCCAGACTTGACTCTATCTAGACATCAACTGTCTCCCAAGATTTCTGACTGTATTGAGTCAGCCTACTAGGTGGTAACTATCTCCGCATTGGCCCCTGAACTTGTTGAATGATAACTCTCTCCAATGGTTCTTTCTGCTCCTTTGTAGATTGTCTTTAGGGCAAAACGTGGTGTCAGTTACATGGGAGATGTAGCAGTGGATGATATCGCCTTTCAAGATTGTTCCCCTCTAATCATCTCAGAGAAAAAATGCACTGCTCAGGAATTCCTGTGTGCTAACAAGCACTGCGTCCCCAAGGATAATCTATGTGATTTTGTAGATGATTGTGCTGACGATTCAGATGAGAACCCTTTCATTTGTGGTAAGTAATGCTGTTCTGTGCTATCATTGCTTTGCCAGTACTTCCTCATGTTTCCCTCCCACTTTTGAATAGCTAATGAAAACAAGTGTAAACAAGCATTTGAAGCAATTCAAATGAAGTCAACCATTTAAAAGCAAGACTGTTTTTTTCCCTCACACCTAAATATAAATGATGATTAATTTTGAAAGTGTTGATAGATTTTTCTTTTGTAAAATAAATAGGGAGGGGAATTAGAAATTGAAGACAAACAATTGAATTATCAGTGTTTTCCATATTAAAAAATTATGAAAATCTATAAGCAAAAACTCTACCAAACTAAATTCATTATGCCTTCCTGCTTTGATGTGTTTTGCGGATTTTCCTATCTTTAAGTAAATCATCTGATGAATGCTCAATTATTATAAAATAAACATGGGTGCCCTGAGAGCTTTTAAAGTCTAAACTACAAGTTCTTGATCTGTCTCTCTGTCTCTCTGTCTCTCTCTCTCCTTCACTCTCTCCCTCTCTCTCTCTTTCCTCCCTCCCTCTGTGATAGACCCCTTTGGCAATCAGGCAAATCCTGTGGACCTCTTCTCAGGATAAGGAAAGTTTGTTGTTTATATTCAAAATGGAAAGAAATGTTACATTTCAGTTTTGGGGAAGTGAAAATCAAGATGTATTTTCACTCCTATCCAACCTCGTAGTACCTATACACCCAGATTAACAATGTCTGAGTCTCCATTTTGGTTTGGCAAAGCATGGGCCAAATCTGGTTCCAAGTTGTTTTTTGTATAGCCCTCAAACTAAGAGTTGTTTTAACATTTTTAAATGCAATAAAACTCTATTTACAAATATAGGCAGCTGGTGGATTTGGTCCTTTAGCCAACCCCTACTCTAGACAAAGAGACTCTTTAAAAGTATGTTATATCAGCAGTGTAAAACTTCTTTGAAAGATCAAATCATAACAAGGTGTAAACAGCCTTTTAAACATGCTATATGTCCTCTTCCAGTCAACCCTATATTTATTCATTCAGCAAACATTTACTAAGCATCAGCTGTATGCCAGGTGCTATTATAGGGGCTGAAGATACAAAGACAAAAATGGAAATTATTCCCACCCTTGGGAAACTTACATTCTATTGGGAAAAATGATACATAAATGGAAAATTAAATGTAAGATAGATGTAATCCTCTGCCCCTTTAGCTGAAGGTTAGAAAGTACAGATATAGGGGTACCAAAGTATCAAGAGCAGGGGTGGGGAACCATTTCAAAAAAGAAGCATTTCAAATCTTAGAGTTTAAGGCTTCAATAACTCAACTGCATACTTGAGCCTAGAGCACAGACTATTTCCGTTCTTTTGTCCCTAGCCATTCATCTGCATGAGGCTCAGTAGGAAGGAGGAAGTGTAACTTGGTGGTTACCAAAAGTAACAGTAGAACCCCTCACTGATGGAATTGGCTCTGGACCAGAAAAAAAAATATTGTCAAATGGAAGAGGCTAGACCTCTTATGACTCTTTCCTGGTGGTGATTGATGAACATTCTAACCCAGGCTCTGAGGAGGTCAAAGAGAAAAGGTTTCTGCTATGCCTAGGATAAGTGTCATAGCTCTTGGAGGGGGGAGAAGCATTTAATATCCCACAGGCAAGATATTGGCATGATCTCTGTAATATACAGATAAGCAAGAAGTGCTGAAGATGGTGGCTGACTATCAAAGAGGGAGGCTAGGGATTCTAGTACATTGGCCCATTTAGCAGAAATGTCATACGCTGTGAAGAACCTAACAGCTGAGAGATGTACCAAGTCTAGTTGAGCAGCCATAGCCCAGCAGCAGAATCATCTGCCCGGCTGAATTCCGATTCAGCATCTTCATCTTCACACAATACAAATCCCTGAATCAACATGACCAGATACAAATATACTCAAGGCTTCCAAATGATTTTTTATAGTAAGACTAGAAAGGAAATGCCTGTGTGATGTAAGGGCTTATCTTCCAAAGGCCAGTCCATCCCTAATAACATTCAATTGCTCAATCACACATGACTGGAAACTGACTTTCCAGAAGTTTCCTCATGATGACCAACCAGATGGGGAATATCTGTACATTCTCCAATGACTGCCCTACCACTTTCTCCCCACCCCAACCTCTCTAGGCCAGATCAGTCCACATCTATTAAACTTTAGTTACTTATACAATGGAGATGTAAAGAAATTTCTGGAGGAAAATTCTGAGAAAGCACCTGGGGAGCACACATAGGATTCCTACAAGAGTTACCACATGAGCTGAGTTTTATTTCAAATGGACTGAGTGGAGGAATGAGTACTTTTTAAGTGAACAGCCTCTGAAAATCCACAGAGCTGGGAGCTGGAATATTTTATAGAGGAAATAGCATGTGGGCCAGTCTGACTGAAGTGTAGGAGATGAATGTGAAATAGCCAGGAAAAAGTAATCTGGGTCTGGATGGTAAAGGGCTTTAAAGACCAAGTAAAGGAATTTATATTTCAATTCCAAAGACAAGAGGGACCTACAGGGGCTTCTTGAGCAGGGAAGTGACATGGTCAGATGTGATCAATGAAATTCCAGCATTACCTTATATTCTTGCAAACTTTATGTGTATATTTGGGCATTATCTGGATAGAGATGTTAAATTCTTTGAAGCTATGATCACTGAGAATACAGAGAGAAAAGATGACCCAGGAGAAAGCATTGGACAATATCTATAATTAGATTATTGGATATATGTGATAATCTCAATCTCAAAAGAGATTGAGATGACATATAGAATCTATAGGAATTGACCAAGTAGAATGTAGTACTTTGACAATTAAGGAAGGAAAGAGAATTCAGGAGGAAGGAATAATCACCAGTGTCATAGGATCTGAATGGGATCTTTGAGGTTATCAAGTTCAAGTATTTCATTTTACACACAAGGACTGAAGCACAGAGAAATGAAGCAGCTTTTCCAGGGCCACACATGTAGAAAGTAGCAGAGCCAGAATTACAACTCATGTCCTCTGACTCCAGTACTTCTACTGCACTATGTTGCAGAGAGATCAATAAGGACTGAACAGGTGAAAGGCTGTTGGTAACTGTATTTATTGATCAAGAGGTTGCCTTGGAGTTAGTAGTCCTGGGTTAGTGGTGGAGCCAAGAATCAAAATAGCAGGGAGTGAGAAATGAGGAAGAAGAAAAATGAGGGAAAATTTTGTATGACTTTTTAAAAGTTTGGCAGTGAAGGGAAGGAGTCATATTAGATGACAACTTTATTACTTGTCTATAGTGTTTACTAGGGTCAAACAGAGGTTTTTGAAGGCTGGGAGAGGGACCTGAATGTGTTTGTAGACAACAGGAAAGAAACCCATGTGTTGAAAGAAATTGAGGATAGTAGAGGGAGAACAGTGATGATAGAAAGGGTAAATAGCTTTAGAAAATGGAAGGGAATGGGTTAAGACAACAAGTAGAGGGATAGGTTTGGTGAGGAGAAGGAACACCTCTTTGTTAGTGGAGCAAAGAAGGAAAAGGGACGATAATGTCAAAGGGCTTAAATGGGGTAGGATGGAGGAAAAGAGGTAGTTAACGATAAATAGTTTCTGTTTTCTTATTAAAATGAGTTGAATTCCTTTGGTGAGAAGACTGCAGGATTGTATGTTGTAGGATGCTCGAAGAAAGGAGAAGACTTGGAATAGCTGTTGTGGGGGAGGGAGATAGAGAGTCAACTGTGGAAGACTAAAATGTTTGCCATATATTAGGCAGGCCCCTATTGAGATTAGCTAATGCAAATCTCCAATGTCCTTTTAGAATTTCTTGCAACTTCTTCAGTACAGGTTTATAGCACATGGGAAGGGGAAGAGAAAGTTGATGATGGAAATAACCCAGTATTAGACAGGTCACTAACTTTTCTGTTTCTCAGTTTCCTCCTCTGTAAAATGATGGGGTTGAACCAGATGTCCCTTTCAGCTCGAAAATTCCTACCCAATGCAATGGGTTTTCATCTGCACCAAACGACTCCCCTCACTTTTTTTTTTTTTTGCTTTATTTCTTCAGTCATTTTCTGTGTCTGTATCTTGGTCATTTTTCTCTCTATGCTTTTTTCTTTTGATCTCCACAACAACCCTTTCTGGTAAGTAGGGCAGGTGTTATGCTTTTGATTTTTACTTGTAATTTCACTAAGGTCTCTTCTCCCACCCCCAAAAATGTAGCTTAAAGCAAATATTTCAGTTTTTGAAGTTTAAATGCAGTCCCGGTCTTATGTTGTTGGAGCTGCTTGGGCTAAGGATCTAAAAGCTGTCAGAAGTCTTTCCTTTCCCCCTGAAAAATCGGCCAATTTTGAGAGACTACAAAGTATGCCAAGGTGTCCTAGCTTACAAAGGTAGACCCATGTCTGGTAAGACAGAAAAAATAATAAATTCATTTTCACCATTACATTTTACCCCTGGAAGTTCTTCTTGGATAGGCACTCGAAGGCATGTGAGGCACACCACCCAGAGACCATAGAAAGGGAGTGACCCTAGCCCTCCAGCTGACTGAAGCTGTTCTTTGGTTAAACATGCATGGGTGGCCGCTTGCATAATTAACATCGGGGTGAAACGGCTGAATGAATTCCTGATGTTGTATAGGGAAAATAAAGCAAAACTTCCCAGCCCTTAAAAATCCTAACACAATAAACTTTAGAATAAAGTTTAAGAGGAATCCACATGTTTGATTTAGGTTCTCATTTTACAAATATTTATGATAACCAAAGATAGTGGTTTTTGACTCCATATTGCTTGTTTTCATTATGTATTTTCTCTGCCTGCTTTTGAGTGTGTGTTACAATTTTTGTGTGGCTTGTGGCCACCCGCTGAACTGTGAATGTTGTTGTTATCCCACGATATGCTGCCTTTGGCAATGTTCTAAAATCTCAGGGGAACGGAAAAGAGGGAAAAGCAGTATCATTGAAATTGTATTCAGGTGTTTGGCTAAAACCCAACCGATTGTTAGACCCAAATGACAAACTCATTTTTAGTTAGAAGGCTAAGTTA